AAATAAAATAAAAAAAATAGGAAATACTATATGCCCATCTCCCAGTTTTAGTAAAAGTCAACACACAACTAATGTTGCTGCAAATAACCAGGCTTTCTCTCTGCCTTCCATTCTCTCACCCTGGATTACAATAGTCCCCCATTATCTGCAGCCTTGCTTTCTGCAGTTTCAGTTACCCATGGTCAACCATGGTTTGAAAGCAGATGATCATCTGTCTGACTATCATCCAAAGCTCAATGGTAGCCTAACGTTATGTCACAATACCTGTGTCGTTCACCTCACTTCATCTCATCACATAGACATTTTATTATCTCACATATTACAAGAAGAAGGGTCAGTACATTACAGTAAGATATTTTGAGAGAGAGAGAGAGACCCCACATTTACATAACTTTTATTACAGCACATGGTTATAATGGTTCTATTTTATTGTTACTGTTGTTAATCTCTTACTGTGCCTAATTTATCAGTTAAACTTTATCATAGGTGTGTATGTATAGGGAGAAATATAATATATATTGGATTCAGTATCATTTGTAGTTTCAGGCATCCACTAGGGGCCTTGGAATGCACGCCCCACAGTTACCCTAAAAGCTATAGCACTTTATCCATAAATATTTCACTGTGTACCCCTAAAAAGTAAATACTATTTTAAAAAGCCACAATAGCATCACACCTAAAAACAATTGTCAATAATTCCTGTGATAGCTTGTCTCCAAGATGGTCAATAAAATATGGGAAAAATGATTACGTACTATTCCCAGGCCTTGACTTTAAGAAGACTGGACATTTCGGGCGCCTGGGTGGCTCAGTCGTTAAGCGTCTGCCTTCAGCTCAGGTCATGATCCCAGGGTCCTAGGATCGAGTCCCACATCGGGCTCCCTGCTCGGCAGGAAGCCTGCTTCTCCCTCTCCCACTCCCCCTGGTTGTGTTCCTGCTCTCGCTGTCTCTTTCTCTGTCAAATAAATAAAATCTTTAAAAAAAAAATAAAGAAGACTGGACATTTCTACTTCTCCCTTAGGAGTACTGAGCTTCCACATGGACATCTTACTATCCTGCTAATGAGATCATATAGAAAAGTACCACAAAAAGGGACTGTATAGAGAAATTATATATAGTTTTTATAGAAACTGTATCTCTGTATGTATATATACATACATCTCTCTCTCTGTATACACATATATATATACACACATATGTATACAGTCTTTATATTATATA